TAGTAAAAAACTCAAAAATCATTGTTATTTGTAAACTGGGTTGGTCTGAGAGTTCTTGCCACTATCTGGGCCTGTCCATAGATCGCTTAAAACGAACGTGAACTAAAATTCAGAAAGCCTCCTATGTAATAGAATTTCTAAAAGTCTAACAAGGAAATGGTCAGAAATCGAAGTGGCCAGTCTAATCAGACTGCATACCCAGCCTCGATGCAGCATTGAAGGGCGACTTCAAATGTACCCATTTTCTTGATGTGCTGAGCGCCTTTGTAGGCGACGTTTGAGCAGGTTTGTTGAGAGAAAACCGTACCTAAGACAGCATCAAGCCGAGCATGGTTCAGTACGACCAAATTCGCACTTTGCAAAGCACGATTTCTTAGCGACCTCTAACGGCTTCTGCATCATCCACAAAATATTTAGCAGATAAGGAAGATAGTTTTCGAGTCAGGGTTTTGCGTTGCATGTAATGGTATTCGACTTTTTTATAGGCCACTTCGATTTCTGACCATTCTTTTGTAAGCCTTGAAGTGATCTTTTGACTAGCGCTTACAAGGGAATGTCAGAAGTCAAAATGGCCAATTTAACCAAGCTGCTATCAGACGCAGCAAAATGCTGATTTCAAATATTTCTTTCAGAAATCCTTTTAGGCGAAGCTATGAGTGGCTTTACTGCGAAAAAAAATCGTACACAAAAACTGCAATTAGGCACATTATTTTACGGACCATATGAAGTGACCTAGTTGCATGTTTTGTTTCAGCACTAAGCCGAGATGCCTCTCCTCTGTACGGCCAAGTTTGTCCTTCCCAGGCACAATTTCTTAGCAAAATTCTCAGGCATAATTTCTTAGCTTTTAGCGGCCTATAATTTTATCCTTAAAAGTGTTATGCAGATAAGGAAGATAAATTTAAAGTCAGCGTTTTATACTGCATTCAATGGTATGCAGCTTGCTTGAACCACTTCAGTTTCTGACCATTCCCTTGTTAGATATTTGACGAAGGTTCGATAACTGGGATAAATCAAACTTTTGCGGTGCAGCTCTCGTCCTCGCTTTAGCTGACCTTTTAGAAGTCCTACAGAATACTTTTGGAGTGATTTCGTGTTTGGTGTGTCCAGACCTCGAATAGTACTTGCGCGATTCTGATGACATTCACTAAGTCGAATATCCTGGAACAGCGATATAGGTAATATTCGATGTATTTCCTTCTCCTCGGAATTTGCAGGAAAAATCGTATATTCTAAGTACATGTGCGTAGGGTGGCATAGAAAACGCGGAGTTTTCAAAATTTAGGACGGCAATCGCTGGTTTACTTCCCAAAATTAGCTTGTATTAATCGAATTGAGAGCCTTCAAATTCTGAAGATTATTTCCAAGCGTTTAGTGATCGGACGCGATTACGTCGGAACTCATGGCTTACAAAAAAAAACTGAAAGATCGTGATGGAATAGCTGGAGTGTCGCGAGAATATAATTGCATTACAAAAGCTTCGCTCTATCTACGGTATGTCAAGGCTCCTACCAATTTGTGAAAACTTTTGGAAATCAGCTGGTAGGACGGTGACGGTGACAGTACTAACTGCTGTAAATATCTGATGACTATGTTACCCTTAACGTAGGTCAATTCTCGCTAGAAGCTTCACACCCTTTGATACGGTTTGCTTGACAAATCAAACTGTGCTTTAACTCACCTCAAGGGGTTAGCAAATGCCTTGCCTCACACCATAAGGCCTTTACCTGAGCTGTAGCTGTTACCACCACGAGCAGCTGGAGTGTTAATACAGAATGCTTTGAGCCGAAATCTGCAAGCACTCAAAGCTTCAGGTTTTTGAGTGAGATTATTTGAATTTATTACCTACTCAAACTATGGTTTTGTTTTACTTTCATAGTCTTCTTGATGTCCAAAATTTTATTTGAAATTGCAAAAAAAGCGGAAGAAACTTTCGAAAAGCTTAATCGTTGCTATGGATCAACTAATTCAAGACAATTATATGGCTTGTGTAAAAGCTAATCGCAAATGGGAAAGACAGAGAATAATATCTCGACTATATGTGTCAAAGCGATGGAGGACGATAACATTATGAATCGCTATTTCTATAGAGACTCTGTAAACTCAGCATAAGCTAACTGCCAAGAACCCACCCCGACTTCATTGTGTCCATCGCCGCCAAGCTGAAAGGTATGTTTTCCTACATAAAGTCAAAAAAGTTAGATGTTACAGCAGTTAGCTGCTATCACTTTAGTGTATATTGACTTAGTCAATATACACTAAAGTCAGTATACAGTAAAGTATAAAAGTATTGTTGTATCAAATTTTTTGCCCTTCAGCAGGTCACTTAGAAGAGAAAGATGAGGCACACTTACAATCCAGAGATAAGGAAAATCAATGCCTTTTCTCTAAGTCTTGTGAAAACTATATACTGAAAAAAAGAACATCTTTAATGGAAGGGGGAATGGCTAATTCGAGCGCACTGATATAGAATAGAAAAGTTAATTTTATTTTTCTGAAATGGATGGAACGAAGAAATTATTGGACTATTCAATCAATGCTCTCCCGCTTTCTAGCAATTTCGAAAATTGCGCGGTTTATGGGAATTTGGTCCATCATCAAAACCTTTTGGGCTTGACTGTTGCTAAAAGCAAAACCTAAAAGCTAGCTAAAAGCATCCCAAAGATTCTCTACTGCCAAAAAAATAAGATAAAAAAATGCATAAGTGCTGACCAGTCACTGACTAGTCAGGACATTTGTAGGTCTTTTACTTTCAGAAAATGTGGTAGCTACCAATCAGAAGAAATAGGAAAAAAACCTTCGCGACTTGATATTGAGAAAAATTGAAATTCATTAAAATCAGTCTTCTAAATATACGCATATAAAATGGTGCAAGTATTACAAAGGTTAATTACAATGGAAACAGCTTCAAACTATTCTGGGCAAAATAATAGAGAGATATAGAGTTAATTACAGGGAGGTCTAGTCAATTTTTCTAGGACCACTTGGAACAAGTTGTTGTGCATTGACCTAGGGAATTGAACCAGGTTTATTTCACAGCTCTTGTGAAGTATTGGCTAGTGTTAACGAGAAGGAGGATTAATGTTATAGTTCTCCAGCAAAGAGAACTTCACACAGGAGCTGAAGATAGATGGATCACGATTTTAACAATACAATCATTCCCTCGAAAATGAAGAGATCTTTAACATAATGGAGTTCACAAGGTTGATTTTCAAGGTCCTTTATAAGTCCTCAGGCATACTAGGGATTCCAATTATTCATCAACGCAGAGCATTTCGGAACCCGTTGGGTAGGCCTTAACCCACGAGATCGGTATTCACGAAATTAGTGGATTCCGGGACCCAGTTGGTTCGGATCTACCCAGTGGATTTCGGAACCCTCAAAATGCTACTTGACCGGTATTCACAAACGAACCAATTGGGTTGTTCGCATACCCACTGGGTAGCGGAATTCACTGAGTTTGTCGGTAATACGTCCACTGATTGCATTCGAGGCGGCTCAGATCCTTGCGCGCTGCTTTTGGTCTCTCGCCGCATTTGAACTCAGCAAAAAAGGTATCGTGTGAAAATACCGTGCACTTAGGCATCGTCGCTGACGAGGTTGGCAAAATGCCCCAAGACACGTTCGCTAGCGCGTGCTCAAGCGAGAGCGACTCGCGAGGATTCAAGTCGCACCCACCGTGACATTCATATTGGAATGTCGTATACCTCATGCGATTCCAGTAACCACTCAATTTGGCAGTACTCCACTTGTTTTCAACTCATTTTAACACATTGACGACAACGCAAATTTTTGATTGTCTGCCTCTTGGGACCAAGAGCTTTCACGCGGACCAGTCAGCATTTCTTAGATAAAATCACGCATACTGTCATCTACAGGATACTACAGTAGCTGTGGACTGACAAAAATAAAGGTTATTTCTAAATTCACAACAAAAGAAAACTTCTGGAATAAGTTTGTACCAAAGTAGTCGTCATTTTAACGGAGTTCAAGCCTTGACACATCATGTGTGTCAAGCGGTCCCAGATGGTAGTCATTGCTTGACACACATGGTGTATCTAACTGTCGTCAATTAAGTCCATTGCAAGCCCATGGAGAAGACGAGACATTTTAACATTTTACAAAAACTATGCGCATCATTCTTTGTGGACTGCGTGTTGGATTGGCGGTATGTTAGTACCTAATAAGGGAGGTCCGTTGAGCCGAAGTGGTCTTCTTGAATTAGTCCTATACCGGTTTGAAAAGCATTAAACTGCCCAAATCTGTTTTTTATCTGTCTGCACCTTTGGACGCAGTTATTAGTGTTTTTGAAGCAAAAAATGGACGAAGAATCTCGATAAAACCAACCGTTACGGTCTTTTCAGCAAGTAGAGCATTGTTGAGTATGAATGTATTGGACAAATTTTTCTATTGAATGAAATGCTTTGATACTTATTGCTGGATCTGAGCAATTCTGACGAAGTTGAGTTGCGCATTCAATTTCAAACTCAGAAACGCATAACGTCCAGAAGAGTGGCAGACAATGAGACAGATTTGAAGCCATTTTTCATTGCTCTTCAGAGGAGTTCAGGAGTCTTTTGAAAAATGCATTTCGACCAACGGACCTCCTTTAAAAGGCCCCGGTCTTACCTCGCGCGATTGCAAAAAATTCGCTATCGTCGGCACTACGCGCAGATCTCGAGTGCACAGGTGCATGGTTTCTATAAGTTGGACAAGTGGATGGAATCTCGCTCATCGTGAGTGTGCTTACGATGAATTATGAGCCACCGTGGCAATGCCAAATCCCGCGGCGACCGAAATCGCGCGAGGTATAACCGATGCCTAAGGCAGCGCAGCGAGCGCGAGGGAAAAACAAAGACGAAAGCAGTCGCAGACGAAATAAAAGGGGCATGCGATGGTTTGTGCCTGCTCTGTACTCGGATCAAATCATAATTTAATTTTCGATCCATACAATCGGAATTATGGACTATCTCACCATTTCAAGAGATTATTTTTCAGAAATGTCATCGAGACTCATCCTTGCGCTATGCGCTTTCCATTTCTTCAATGATCAGGTAAACAAGCCATCGGAGTCATTAACATACTATTTTGAAAAATATAATATACCGGGAATACGAATTGATAAACTATTTTCAATCACTGAATACATGACTCGCTAGATTCACGCTAACCGTGAGGTCACATTCACGCAAATCCATGGCAAATTCCTTGCAAGAACGCTTTACCAAAGGTCCATAGACGATGAAGTGTTGTGCCTCAATATTTGCTATGACCAGAGGCAATGCAAATTCGTCCATTATTCTGAGGTAAGTGCACGGTGTACTATTGTTAGCCTCAATATACTAGTTTGAAGCCTAGGGTTCAAACCAGTATTGCATATTGCAGGACAACTGCACTATTTACGGATCGGGGAACATCCCTTATTACTCCTGCGAAATTACGTACAAGCTCGACCGAACCCTAACGAGTTCATTCTGCACTTTCGAAATCCCGATTCGACGGAATGTAGAATTCAAGCCCATCGAAGTGCTACATGACCAGGACGTAGTTTGTAGTGGACTACCATCTGAAGTGACAACTATCCACATGTACTTGACAGAGAAACTATTGGCAATCTACAGTATTTCCGATTTGATTGGAAACTACACTGAAGTCCAAAGGTACAGGAAAAAAACATGTTACAGACGAAATAATGGCTGATGAGCTGACACGTAACTCTTTTAAACAAGTAACTTTACCCCTTTAGATTATTCTTCGCAAAAACTCCTCAGTCTCACTGCACCTCTATTCCTGTCTTTACAGGCGCCAGTAAGTTTGAAACAAACCTCATAATTGTAGTAAGTCTGCTCCTTTCATCACATTTTTCGTAACGAAAAAGGAAGGAGCGGAAAAAACACAGCAATCAGCACTGGCGAAGCATGGTCGCGCTGTCGGATGCGAATAGGATGATATAAGAATAGAGAATAAATTTCCATACTACTATTTGAATTTAGGCAACAGCAGACTGTACTTCGGTGACGTCTACAACACCAGCGGTTACTACTTTTTGAATGCCTATGCCTTCACTGGAAAGTGTGCCTGCATTGTCAACGCCTGCTGTGGCAATATTGTGATCAGCGAATACTTGAGCGGCACTGACACAACATCGACGAATCATAAAACCATTTACAGTTACATTTATTCTAATTCTGATCACCCCACTTTTTTCTTCAGTTTGCACAACAAACAGAGTGAGCAGCAATACTACATTGCCGGCGAAGAATGGCTTGCTTTTCTATAGAGGTACACACTTGTGACGGACCCTCTCTTATTGTGTCAGTTGATATCACACCGCCACAGTTGTGTGCAAGTCGAGACCATAGCAACGTAGCCTTGTGCGTAATTTGTATCAATTTCATTCAATAAATTAGTCTAGCACGCTTTTGTATGTACAGTTATACGAATGCCAACTGCAGACAAGGGCTTCCAGAGTGTGTTAGTGGTAATTTGTCTTACTAGGTTCCAATGTAAACATATCGCCTTCCGGCACTCTGAAGCTATGATATTTCGCTCATAATTTGTAAAAGAACGATGCTGCCGGAGTTTGACTAGATTCGCGTGGCATCGCGGTGTCCCGTTCAGAGTAGACGAATCCCGAATCTGAGAGCAACTTTCAACTCACAAGGGTCACCCTTTTAGTCGGCCTTTCCATATGGCTTTCATACCACATTAAAGAGCTTTGAACGATAATCCCAAGCCTGCTTTTTTCCGGAACGTCTAACTTTGACAAGATTCAATTGGGATTGAATTAGCGAAAAGCTTTACAAAAATATCCACTGCATGGAAGGATAGAGCTTTTGGTTAATTTTATGCCACCTGACTTGACAAATACGAGCAATCAAACATTTACAACTTCCTTTAAAGAGTTGTTCCGCAATGAAACCAAAGCAGATTTGTCTTCGTTCAATCCTTTTCAAAGTGGTATAGGAGTCATTTGGAAAGGCCACGTCGACTAAAGGAGCCTCCGTTGTCAGCTCGGCGAGGTGCATCTTCTAATAATAGGAGTGCCAAGTTTTTCGGGATACGGTAAATGTACGATGTACCCTTTGCTTCAACCAGATCGGCTGCTGGAAGGCGGGGCTTCATGACCTATGAGGCGACTGCTCGCGTCCGCGACGCGTCTGCGCCTCCCTCGCGAGCATGCTCTCTGATCATTTTCTAGCCTTAATTGGATCACGGAGCCCCGCCTTCCAGCCACCGATCTGGCTGAAGCAAAGGGTATGGTAATTCACGAACTTCTCCAGATTGGAGATGGTTCACTCAGTTCAATAACAGCATCTACTCTGATTCGCTGCTGGTGCCATTTTGTAAGGAGTACGGTAGAAAGTATGACTTTGTTGACTGCAGTTTGCAGTTTGCATGACTAAAATTTGCTCGTTGTCATCTAATACGATATGGTAATATATTCAGATTTATTTGCTGCTGATGCTAATTGTAAGTGGAAAAATAAAGTGGGTGTATGATGTAAAATCAATTAACTTGAATGTGTCTGAAACGTTGCTTAGATTTAATTCCATGTTCTCGCTCTGAGAAATAGTGATTTTTATTATAACGTCATGCTTTGCGAGTGCACTTGATGTTTACATTGTACTTACGTGACACTCCATAAGTCTTTGTCCAAATTCTTCGCAGTGAGAATCGCAAAACGAATCGGCGAATTTTGAAATGTGCGAAAAATTCATTTGTCTTATCTGTATAGCATCTCAAAAGAGAATTTGATGTTTACTGACGGCAGCGTACCACACTTGAGTTTCGCGCTGATCTAAAACAAGAGAGGGGTACTCGGTGACCGCAGTCATTCGTAACGGGTACGCACACCACTAAATTTCGTAATATTTTATAATACTGATTACAATCTGTTTCCGCTATCTGCTAAGGATTGTGTATAATAAATTATGAGCTTTTTTCGCATTGTTTTTGCACATCAAACATGGTCAGAATTATCTTTGACATTCGAGTTTATTTTTCGAGAATAATCGCGAACTGGACATGTTCTCCAAGCAAACCAGTTGCGCTTATTTTCAAATGTCGTTCCGAGGAGAAAAAAAAACAGAAATTTGAACGATGGTCATAGTTTTGCTTGACCGAAACACAGTTTTACGGAAAACATATTAATGATTTATTTCGAACGGTTGCTCAGCAAAGAGCGAAAGCAGATCCAAAATTAGCCTTTCAAGACGCATCTAGTTATGTGTCTCATTACCCTTCTGTTGAAGTCTTTGTAAAGGCTGACTTAACTCTAACTGTGGGGGCAAAAAGTTCTCACCCGAGCCGTTTTCTCGCACTCAAGTAATGTGCTTGCCAAGCACATTCGGACTAGCTATTACGAGTTCCACAGGAAATCTAGGCATTGCAAGCCCCGCCTCCTTATCCAGTAACGCGATGCTGACCGGGACTTTAAAGAAAGTTTCAAAATCGAAAGTAAGAGCGAAATGCTCCAATCAAGACCAAATTTTGGATTTAAGGGTTTTCGAGGCAGCTCTTCTCATTGTCAGTAGTGAGATTTGTTTGTTGCAAAGTCAGGATTCAGCACCTTTAATGCCCAACCAGCATCAAAATTTGAGATCAAAATTTAAATGAAATTCTTTGAACAAAGATGTTCAGGTTTACGTGTTTTTGAAAAATCACGTGAAAAAACTGAAAAAAATTCCGTAATTTTGAATTTCGTTATTTTCAAAATAACAGAGACGTTCTTCTTTTATGTTTGACACCATTCCGAGCTTTCTAGTCTACTATGAAGTTTTCTGGCACTAAGTAGCCTCAGTGATCTTGGTGACCTGTGATATTTCAAAAAATACTTATTGTTAGCTGGGTCATTGACAGTGCTGTACCATGACATGTTCTCGAAGCTTATTTAAAAAAAAACCAATACGGAATCACATATCGTTTATTCGTTGACCGTAACGACTGCTGACCGCGCGGCGACCGCTGCGCGTGCATGATGTTTTCGTAGGAAAGATGAATAGAAAGAAAACAGAGGATTCTTCTCATCTTTATAATGTAGAAAAGAAACAAAGAATTCTTCTCATCTTAAGCCACGGTCCAACTTGTCACTTTTTCGCAAGTTTAGGCACGCGTCGCAGTCGCCACGCGGTCGGCAGTCCGTACGGTCAACGAATGAACGATACGTAAAAGCTCTTCCACGAAGGCGGTCGATTTAATGCGCGACGCGGCTGCGATCGGCGTGTTCGAACATCTTTCATCATTAGAGCTCGTACGCCCGCGCACGCTCCGCGTACATGAGAGACCGCCTTCGTCTAGAAGTAGATTTTCATTCTGCAGTAGGCTTTTCATTTCTAAGAAAAATTCTGTTTCTGTGAGGCAAAAATTTTTGTCTCCAAAAGAATGCTCAAAAATCGCTATTGATATTGCGCAAAGCATACAGAGTTATCGAAGAAGCGATTTCGAGAACTCGTAAACACGAACTTCGATTTTGCTTTGAAAAAGGAAGGTACTATTCCACATTAGTTGACCCAAAAGAATAACCGCCGATTTTCACTACAACTTCGTCTAAGGGGGTTATTTTGCACGCTGATTACGAATATCACATTTACACATAATATCGTCTGGTGGAGCTACGGTGGGATTACGGTAGGGAGTCAAAATCACGGTTTGCCCCAAACTACGTTTAGGAGAGTTTTTTTGGCACGCTGAACATGAAAATCATATCCATTCCGTACAGTAGCGCCATTTTTTATGGTTATGTGGGTACACGGTAGCTAGCTAAAAATCCCGAATTCGCTCAAAGCTTTGCCTGAAGGGCTTCTTACGCAGGCTGATAGCAAATACCTGCTCCTTCACTGCAACAATGCCTTATTGTCAGGTTATGATGAGCTACAGTGCGTGAAAGAGATTTTCCGGTTTTCTACTAAATTCGAATTCCAAAAATCCACGAAAGCTTTATGGTGCGAGACATGTGCGGTATACGTGATCAGCATGTTAGATAAAACCCTGCACAAAGGTTCGAGCAGATCTATTACTTTAGCCATTTACTCTACCCCTACCATTATTCCGCTAAAAAGTTCCAAAACGCAGGAAAAGCATGATATTCGCAATCGGCGTGCTTAGGAACCCCTCTAAGCAAGTTATGAGCAAATCCGGTTTAGCTAGCTACCGTATAACCGCCGTAAGCTGAAAAATGGCGCCACCGTGCGAAATGGATATGATTTCCATGTTCAGCGTGCCAAATACCCCCATGGACAATGGCAAATCCGTGATTTTGACTTCCTGCCGTAATCCTAGTGTAAGCTGTAACTCCACCAGATGACATTACCGTATCAAGTAAGTGTGATAATCGTAATAAGCGTGCAAAATAACACCTCTAGACGAAGTTTCAGCGAAATTCGCGATTTTCATGTTTTGGGTCAACTAATGTGGAATAGCGCCAAAGGAAACTTTAAGAACCTTTAAATCCGTATTTTGATCTTGGCTGAGCAGGTGATTTTTGACTTTGCAACAAACAACTCTTACTACTCCCAAATTTTTATCTTGATTGGAGCAACTTCACTACTGTATCGTCGATTCGTTGAGCGCACGGACTGCTGGAACGCTGCGGACCATGCGCGGCGTGGTTGAGATGGTGCCGGAGCACTTGTACATTGTTTTGTACTGGGGCAAGCGTTTTACTTCGCGGCGCATGCTCCGCAGTGATGAGCAGTCCGTGCGGTCAACGAATGAACTATATCCAGAATTGTCATAAATGCGCTTCCCATGATGATTATCAGATTTTCGACATTTACTTCTACTTAGCCCACAGTCGTGCTTATCATCTTCGGACCACCCAAATTGTCGGGCGGAGCTACCTTGACTGGATTTACCTTCTGAAGCCTTCTTCCAGTTTTGGCATTCATCTTTCGTAGCGGGACTTGGGCGATTACTTGGCTGGGTACCTCGCCAATATACAGCATCAACTCCCCCCCCCCCCCCTATTTGGGTGGTCGAATAAATTGAATCAATTCGCCAAAGCATTCTTTTGCACAGCCTACATCTTACTGGAAGATATCAAACATTGAGGCAAATAACTTTTTTTTCGAGTGCAGTGATTAGGGAAAGGCTTTTGTTTCAGTGAATTGACACGCCTAAAGGGCCGGGCATATCACGCGATTTCAGTCCTGTCCAATATTCCAGCTGTCCATAACTCACTGTAAGCACATTTTGAATGTACAGAAGATAGGGCATTTTATCAATTCATGTAAGTTATACATACTGCATGTGCAGTCTGCTAGTGTTGGATCTGAAGACTTCTGACGAACTGCCAAATCGCGCCGCGACTGAAATCGCGTGAAGCATGCCCGACCCTTAATTTGTTTTATCGTCTACGCTTTCAAGAAATGTTACACGCTCGGATGTTCATACCGGATGAGCCAGTTCTTCGTCATTCCGATATCGATGAACTCGACCAAGCTTAGCTACTATATTTCCGGGTACACAAGGGCAACAATTACTTATTCCTCATTATTTTCGTATGCTTGGAATAATTAAGTTTGAAAGGAGGTTTGTTAGCATGTCTTTGGTAGTTGTGTACTTCTTGATCTGTAGACGATATTATGGACGTTTATGCGGGTAGACACTTTGTTTTCATTGTCTAACTGTTGACTCGAACATGATGTGTCATTATGAAGATAGTAATAAAATTGTTGTCGAGAAGAATTACGGCTGGCTAAATGCCTAAATACTCTGGATAAAACATTGAAGCTGGAGACGGAACTATTAGAAAAGACACGGCTGACCCTGATCCTAAGGAAAACCCTGTGAAATTTGGACTTCATGAGTTTTTGCATTACTCCGCTGCTTTGATTACCATTCAATCACCAAAATGGAAAAATGTCAAAAAAGATCGCAAGGCTTAGAGTGGTCTGAAGAAAAGTGCAGGGTTTCGTTAGGGGCCGAGCATACTTCAATTGCGAAATCGCGTCGCGATTGAAATCGCGACGCGATTTGGCAATATTTCAACTGTCCATGACTCACTGTAAGCACATTTTTAATGTACAGAAGATAGGGCATTTTATCAATCCACGTAAGTTTTACATAATATGCATGTGCAGTTTGCTAGTGTTGAATTTGAAGACTTCTGACGAATTGCCAAGTCGTGTCGCGACTGAAATCGCGTGAAGTATGCGAGGCCCTTTGAACATAACCTCTCGAATGCCAGAATGAAAAAAGTTTTAACGGATGGAAGAAATCTTGAAAAAAATGCAAATTTCATCCGAAGAGCAGATAACGCATTTAAATGTGTTTAGCATAAATCAGATTACAATTAAAATCAATTGTACAAAAAAATATTTGCGATTTTTGTAAAGAACATTCGAGTTGAACAATATCATTTGTCCTTTCTGTTAAAACGTTCTTGGACAAGATTCTATACTGTAATCATTCAGGTAGCTTAAATTCAATTGATTTTGGAATTACTCTGCCACACTTTTGAATTCAAGAGGAATGCTCAAGCGGATGATTACAAGCAATAATTTTTAGTATCATCTTGCATCCATGTAAGCAATATAACATTCAAATTTCACTGAGCTTAGCTAGTCTACGTAAAGGGAATATGTTTGCACTGAATTTTTAAATCATGGCAGAGTTTTCGCAAATATAAAACAACCGAGATATCAAGCTAATGTAACAAACTACGCTATTTTACTGCAATTCGGTCATCCTTTGTCGCCGTAGATCAAAGAATTTCAAGGGGAGCCCAGTCATATACATAGTACATAAAATCATGATTACCTGATTGCATTAGTCTCACACGTAAAGCAAAACAACACAATCAAGGATATTTTTCAATTGTTCAGGTTTCGCAAATTGTTGCGTACTCCTTGCGTTTTGCGCAGCCTGGAAGTTTTGATCTGACCAGATGTGCCGGTTATGGGCAACTACTTGTGCACATTTTTCCGTACTCTTTGGAGCTACTTCCAAAGATATTTTATGGAATCTTTTGCCGATATCTTCCGATCGTTACTAGATAAGGTAGGTAACTAACCATTTACAGTGAAAAGTTGTTGTGTTTTTTTCGAAGTTTTGACAGTAGAACAGTCTCTAAAAAGCAAATCCTAGTCTGAAGCTAAATTATATTTCAATTATCGTTGACTATGTGCGACTGTTTTTTATCCACACTTTTCTAGATAACGGGAAAAAAGAGGGAACAATGCCGCACAGATGAGATTTCTTACGACGTCCAAAATAATACACTGGATGAGTCTGCAATGGAGGTAAGGTGGAGCAATCTCAAGAAACCATATTTTTGTTGATAATGTTACATAGTTTTGAGGGCATTGCTCGGGGGGCAGCCAACATGAACGATAGCTTGTGCCAGCCATATGCGTTGCGTAGGTCAAATATTTTTCAGATTCTATATTTAAGCTACGACGACATTTAGGAACTTGGAAAAAACGCTGGGAGCTCAATGGGCCCTAATCTTTACTTTTCGACACCATTTTCAATCCAGCGAAGAACATATCGCTTTGAAAAATAAGACTTCATGCGCGATATATTGACAGCCGAAGGAGTACAGCATGTTTTTTCCAGCTATCGTTCATTTTGGCACACACGTCATTGCCCCCCATTCGTTACTAACCACCCACTTCTGTCGGTGAGCGTACCCCAATCCCGCCCATTTAGCAACCCCGGCAAGCAGATCGATACGCATAGGTAGGCGCCAGACTGACCGATTGCCTATTTTAGCAGAAAGCGGCGTAACTAGTAAGTTGATGTCATTTGGTGTCATGTTGGACTGAAATCAAACTGGCGTCTGCTGTTCGCCAGCAACAGTATTTTGAAGAGATGGTATCTAAGAAAGCTTCACAGATTAAGAGAATGATAAGAAGGCCTTAGCTAAAAAATTTTGTTCTAGCGAAATCGCCCATGTCGACTTGATTTCCCTACAACGTGACATCAAATCGCAGAATTGCGCCGCGTCCTGCTGAAGCAGGCAATCGGTTAGTCCGACGGCTACCATAGTGTCTACGTATGTTGATTGCTTGACAATGTCAGCGCCAAGCACTCGCCCAACCTTCGAAAGCGGTCAGAATAAAAATGTTTTGGGGCTTTTACCCTTTTCGAATTTCATATCTGAAATCATGAGAATGGAATGATTTGAGAACGATTAAAGGCACCCAAATTCTCGACTTCCATGTTTTTGTCGCTTCCGGGCCTTCTGAAGACCCTGATTTCGAATACGAAGTCGAGAATCCCAAAAACCCCTATTTTGGGGAACGCGGGACGGATGGAAGTGCAGTTTGCAGGACTGCGGCGCGGTTATCGCCCGGCGTATATCAGCGCCGCAGCCCCAAAGCTGCAAAATGGGCGAAGTGATCAGCTCTGGATCACGTATCACGTACCTTCCAGAGCGGATTTCTCGCTCCGGAAGCAATCTTTTGCGGGGAAACTTGGGGGGTTGGCCTAATGTGGGGGCCCACATTAGTATGCCATTGAATCTCGTGAACCCTCACTTTGGGTGGACGGTGCCTTTAAAAGATCAAAGTAGGGGATCAACCTGTACAATACCACTAACCGCAAAAGCAGTCTTTATAGTAGAGGGCTTTCGCATCAACAGCTTTTTTCAAACTAGACTACTTCTTTTCTACTTGAGTGGAGCATGGTAAGGTCGTCAGGCTTTGAGTAATGTCATGGAACTTTAGGCGCAGGAAAGCATTTTAACAACACCATTGACTGGACAGTGTAGAAGTACCCAAACGCTACCGTTGGTTGAGAGCGATAAATGGGAAGATTCGAGGGCTGTGGGAAGGTTAGTCCACGATGAATATGCTCGAGAATCTCCTGTATTCCAGTGTGTCTCCACTAACAACTCCACCCCCAAGTGCAAATGCCCCGCAGGAAGAGACAAGCTTATGGGAAGATGTGGATGTCAATGCCAAAAAAAGATTGATTAGAAAGACGGATCAGGAGTTAGTTGCAGACCTACGAAAAATAGGAGGGCGTAGTATTACTGTAGAATTTTTTAGGAAGATCGATGTGATTATGGATGCCTTCAGACGCAATGATGTGGCATGGATGAATCACAAACTTGAAGATTTGAAGGTGTTCAGATGTAGCGTGAAAAGTGTAAAGAAATTAGCTAAGAAATGATTTCCAGCAAGGATCAAGCAAAAATAGCACTCCCAAATCTCTTGAACAAGAACAGGAGGATCAAAATTCGGAATTTATCTATGCAAACCCGGGTAAGAATCCTACCAGAAAATGGAACTATCTTTGTATTCGAAAGCTTATCAAATTCAGATTACGAATGGGTGGATGAGTTTAAGGAGAATCCTCCTCCTCAAAATAAAACACTGCGTCTGCGTGAGCCGAAATGGAGCGAATTAACGAATGAAGTGAGTAATGGTGGCATTTCGAAAAATCCTTGGAGCAGAACTAGAAACTAAAATCCCACATTGGATCAAAAAAAAATAATGAGTCCTTAAGATTTCTCGTCGTTACACTAAAAACACACCTTCGTTCCTGAATGCATCCACCAGCACGCCGCTTTCTCAGAATGTGAACTCTTTACTGTACAAGGTGGGCTTGCAGTGATTAGGTGCCTCTTCTTTTCTATCTTTTCAAAAATTGCAACGTTTTTTTGAGGAGGTGGGGTTACGTCCCATGAATCCAGCATATTACAAAATTGCCTACGATTGCGACAGTGATGATGAACCCACTACTTCACAGGTTTGATTCTAGCCTTTTTTAACCCGCTTTTCATTTTATTGAGCACAGAACACTCACAATGCCCACCAAAACCCGGCAAAGTCTGGTATAAAGTAAGCCTGCTGTCCAGATTTGATGCTATAAGCGGAGTATGAATTTGCAGGAAGAAGATTGCAAACAGAAGGAAAGCAAAGGGAGGATCTTCTAGGCATAGACGTAGACATTAGTTGTTTTAGACAAAATTTATAGAATTTACTTGCAAAGTTTAATTTTATCAAGATGAGAATAAATGCATGTGACTGGATCAGTGTAGGATGTTCTGGAAATCATAATACGATGACTCGCAAGAAGCTGCCTCAGTTGCGGCTGTTTGAGGTTTCTGCTTTTTTTTTGTCAGATAAAGAAAAATGCCTCTAGCTGTTGCAAAAGTACAGCAGCATTCTTTAGAAACAGTCTCGAGTTAATTGTATATACATCGATTTTGAAACCTCTGAAATCCCTGTTTCAGCATCCGAAGCGACATTGGTTAAGGGGTGGAGCTTGCGATGCCTTCGTATTCTGAGGAGTTCGTAATTACAGCAGACCGAATGTGCCTGGCAGGCACATCACCTATGCGAAAGTATAGGCTACGGTAAGAGACCTCCGCCCCTCCCCTCTCTCCAGTGGGTAGAAATATGCAATTCAGTAGACTAGTCCGTTCCTCAGCGATTGGACATGTGATAGTGTGAACCTATTCTCTCTAACTTCACTTTCGAGTTGGTACAAGATGACCAGCTCCACTGAGAATGGTAAACTTTTTTCGCTGATTGATAAACAGAGGATAAGTAGACAGACGCAAAACAGACCAATGAGAGCATTTTCTCACGCAGTCTAGTCTTGGGAGCTCGCCATCTTCTCTACTGCGAGCAGCAGAGGGCCCTTCACCGCTCTATCATCTACGCCTCAGCTTTCGCCACGTTTTGGAGATTTCCATGACTCCAAGGGACCCGTCATACTTCGCCGAAAAGAGCCCAAAAGCGCCCAAAAAAGCCTAAAAGCGCTCAAAAAAGCCCAAAAGAGCTCAAAAAAGCCCGAAAAAGCCCGAAAAAGCCCGAAAGCGCCAGAAAGAGCCGAAACGCAGAAACGAACATTTGGTAGAATTCTGACATTATTTTGTCGCGCAGACGACAGAAAATGAACCAAAAGACTCGGTTGCGAAATCGACACGCATGCCTTGGCGCCAAAACGTGCGAGAAGTGTTCCGGCTCTTTCTGGCGCTTTTGGGCTTTTTTGAGCTCTTTTGGGCTTTTTTGGGCGCTTTTGGGCTTTTTTCGGCGAAGTATGACGGGTCCCCAAGAGTCCTAACCCAACAGCTCAACAGTCCTTATGACCAACACTGTTAAACCAGCGATCCTCCTTTAGGACAACAAAAACGATGAATGCAAACAACATTTCAAATAGGTGTTGGTTAATTGCTGTAAAAGTAAGACTCATTGCTCTTTCAGTCCTTAAATGAGAACTTAATAAAAATTCTCAGCATTGCAGCTCATTGTAGGGAAGTATTCCTCTTAACTTTGACAATTTTGACTATAGAAAAAACCAAAAAGGAGGACCGAGGGCTGATTTCACAACACCCTGCAATTCAGTAGTTTTGCGGTTGCAAAGTGCAAACGATGACTTCAAAACTGACTATGAATGGCATCATATGTGCATCAGCCATCGATAGAGAACTCTGAAGTTGAGAGAATGAACTCCGAAAACATCAGTATACATGCCCCACCGCTTCCTTTTAGGAAAAGCTTTCTGGAAAATCAACGTTGCCAAACAAGAGATCTCCAAATGACACTAGGTGCGTATAGCGGCCCGTTCATTATGGGCACAATCTGGTCACCCGTTAGTCGTAAACTTGCAATTTTTTCCCAAACTCGCAAGGGAAGTAGTCTCACACGCCGTTCAAATCTAGAAAATCATACACCAGAAAAACAACTGTAGAGATGCGGTTCAATAAATACTCCACATGTCTTTTTGAGGAATCCAATTATTACTTTTTCTCAACAGTTTCCAACAACAGCAGTGACACACCTTTTATGTTACACGATCAGTTCTTCATAAATTACACAGAAAAAAGTTTGACTCAACAATAGTAATAGTATACGGAACCATACGAACAGGGAACAATGAGACCATACATCGAACAATAACACTAACAACTTTGAAATCAGATACACAATTCTTCTTTTCCTGAATAGCAACGATCAGTTCGTTCTGCCTTCGACTGAAAACGAATCACATGATCGATCACACAATCACATGCCGCAATAAACTGATAACGCCAAAGAAAAACTTACTGTAAGTGGACACATCTATGGTCTCCGGAAGTTCTGTGATGCTTATGTCGAATCGATCCTGTACACTGTTGAGGGTTTTCGCATCGACTTCATCAGATACGAATGTGATGGCCAATCCCTTAGTACCAAACCTTCCAGCACGCGCAACCTAAACCAACTTTAGATACGCATACAGCGAACAAGAGAGGAAGTATCGAGAAAAAAATAACAAACCCTGTGCAAATAAGAGTCTGAGTCTTCAGGCATATCGTAGTTGAAAACGATGTTAACGCGCTCAATGTCCATTCCACGACCAAACAAATCCGTGGCTACCAGAATACGCTTCTAAATAATGACCCTGTTTGAATAGGTGCGATCTTTATTACATATCAAGCGATAAGCGTAGAAAACAAACTTGGAAATCCTTGAAGGCTTGATAACGAGCCAATCGCTCCTCCTGGGGCATTTGTCTATGGATGGCAATCGAAGGGAAGTTTTGCTCGGAAAGCAGCTGATGAAGAGCACCACAGCGCTGCACCGACTTCACGAATATGACAACCTAAAGGATGCGAATAAGGATAAGATATCTCAACGGTGAAAATTCGGGAGCTAATTCCATTTAAGTAAGTAAAAAAATCAAAAAAATCAAATTCGTAATCTGCTCAGAAGGATGAGACGGCATGCTGACTATGAATATCGTTGCAGTCGAAAGCACGAAGTCATACTATGGTTACGGTGAGTAGACGGTAGGTGCTCAAAGTCCCAAATTTCTTCAAAACATCAATGTCGACGTCAATGATTGTAATTCGCATTTGAAGGACCTATACAAAAGATGGGTTACACTCCGCATTGAGGAAACTCGAGACTTCAATCCTATCTACCGTATACCCACCCACCAGTGGCGTAACGAGGAGGGGGGGCGATATTTTTGAAAATTACTTACATGAGTTATAAAATTTTGCAAATGACTTGTCTACACTTGTAAATAATCAAAATAATTTTTGAAAATTTTTAAAAATTCATTTTAACCTTATAAAAAAATTTTTTTCGGGGGCGTGGCTGACGCCACGCCCCCTTTTTCTAAAATTTTGGGGTTGTGGACCCGCGAAAATTTTTTGAAGTGTACCAAAAAAATTTTCTGGGTGCGTGGCTAACGCCACCCACCTTCATAGAAAAAAATTTTTGTCGCCCCCCCCCGTCGAGCCGAAATCCTGGATACGCCACTGCCACCCACCATGAACTCAAACATGGCGCTACTAGCAATGCAATGATCGCGTCCAAGTGCTCATGATCCTTGTGAGCTAGTTTCAGCAAGATCCATGACCTCCACTTTCGAGTTTTATCAAGATAGAACCGAATCTATTACCTGATTGAACTCAAGCAAGTCCAACAACTCCAACAATTTCCTGTTCTTCTCGGTTTCCTTCAGCTTAACGTAATGCTGTTGCAGTCCATGCAGGGTGAGCTTTGCCTCGTCATCAACATAAACCTCCATAGGCTGCAAATATCCACCACGATAAAAAACAACTCAGTGTATATTTTGGGTCATACAGTTGAAACTAGGGTAAGGTGGTGCCAAAACTTGATGTCCCAAGACATCACTTGACATACTGACATACTGCGGTCAAACATGGATGCGTGAATTTTGCATCTCTGGTTGCCTTGTACATGGTGAAAAGAACAGCTTCAGCACCATTGATGCCGCTCCTTCGGAAGAGAAAACAAACACCGAAAACGCAATGAGCGTTCCTAAAATACGTGAAGTGATGACTCCACTGAATAAACAAAAAAGTAAACCTACCGTGCGTAATCTCTTCCTTGCATTCCGCCGCATGACAGAATTTTAATGCGGTGGAAAATTCCAGAGAACGGAGGATGCGTAGCTTACATCTTGCATGAACTTCTTGCAGACGACGCGCAGCTCCTTGGGTAGGGTGGCAGAGAACATCATCACTTGTTTTTCCTGTGGTGTCATCTTCACAATCTCCTGTACGTCGCGTCGCATATCTATAATTAAACTTTACATATAATTTCAAATAAAACGTGCTTGCACAGGTCTTTTGTGTTCGCTTGTTCCATACAAACTATCGAAGTGCTACATGTAAATGACAAATGTAATCAATTAGAACCTACCAGCATCTCCGATCATCTTATCGCACTCATCCAAAACGAAGTATTTGATCTTGTCGAGTTTCAGTTTTCCAGATCTGGCCAAAGCTAAGGTGCGTCCGGGAGTTCCCACGACGATGTGTGGGCAATTTGTGCGAAGCAACTCCTCGTCTTTCTTGATAGGCATGCCACCAAAAAAGACGGCAACCTAGAAAAAACCATAGAACTGTACTGATGACATTGAAACTGCAGAACAGTTATCTACAGCACCGCTCAAAAGACGAAACAAACCTTGATGGCAGACAAGTACTTGCTGAACCGTTCATATTCCTTCGAGATTTGGAAAGCCAATTCACGCGTATGGCACATCACGAGCACGGAGACCTAAAATAGTAAGAAATTTTGTGGGGAGATGAGGAGGTCAATTTATTTTGCTACTACACAAAATGTACCTCTCCGTCGACAGGTTCAAGCTGCTGAAGTGTGGCGAGAACGAAGACAGCAGTTTTACCCATACCAGATTTAGCTTGGCAAACAATGTCCATTCCCAAGATGGCTTGTGGGATACACTCATGTTGAACTTAAAAAGAAATCTTAGTGGGGACAAACTTCACAGGAAAATCACTCACCTTCAGAAGGATGTTCGAATCCGCAATCGATTATAGCACGAAGAAGTTCCGGCTTGAGAAGGAAGTCTCGGAACCCACTGCTGTGAATGGATGCGTAATTACCCTGAAAACATTTGTACTTGATATTAAGAAACAACTGATGTAAACACGAGAAAAATGAATGCATCTCAGATATTTCCGCACTCAAAAAAAAAAAAAGCTTTTCTGGCTCTATTCCAATCAACAGGGCCCAAATACAAGTTTTGCTAAAACTTGTGCGGGAGGTTATCTAGTGTGCAGACCACGAATGCCGAAGTGATTTCGCACGTAGCGCAACTCTTTGATCAAGGTGGGTCACCGTGGGTGGATACGAATCTCAAATTCGAATAAACTTGATTTGAAGAACCTTTTTCATCATGCTATTTACTATGCAGGGTGTCCCAAAAAATGTGCACACTGTTTGATCGTTGAAAACTCTTTTGTTGTGATGTCTATCGGCGAACTTTAGGTACCTTGTGTAGAGCGAGGTTCAACTTTGATTTTCAGTATGGCACGAATCAGTGATCTCTCTCCATTACTGTAGGATTACGGTAGGAACCGATAAGGTTTTAAGCCATTAAGTGTCATATCTTGCTCCATAAAGAAAAACAAATATGCCAAAAACTCTTATACTGGGTTACTGAAGTCGCTGACTTCAAATACAAAAAAATTGCACTTTACTGTACCGCTCCTTTCATAATTCGAGGAATATCGTGACAAATGTTTCTCTTATAATATTCATTGGAAATGTGTTTACAACCACTGAAAAAACTCAAAAGGTCGTAAAAAATTATGCAGTAAAATCAGCATGGGCGAAAAAAAATTCTACACAGTTTTTCGGGTTTTCTGAAAAAGATTTAGTCAGACGACTTATTCTACAATGGTTCTACATATTGAAAGTTCCTACCGTAGTCCAGTAATGGTGATCGCTGGAACGCTCTACACTGTGAATGTGACAGCCACCTCAGATTTTGAGCAAGCTTGGTTATTTAGATCCATCCAACTATTCACAACCTTGCTTCAAGAAAAGCTGTTCGTGACCATCGCGCCGAATAACCTCTCACCGAGATTCCAGCGAAAACCATGATTTTGACTACATGGTTCCGTAAATGATATAGCGCCGTTCACTATGCTCAATGAGCACAAAAGTCACCCTTTTATAGTTTACGCAGACAAACCTCCCGCGAATCTCAGATCACGGATTTGTAGCCGCTTCGGTCTTTGAAGGCACCCTCCACCCAAAATCTCGAATTTAATGTTTTTGTCGCTTTCAGGCCTTCTGAAAGCCCTGATTCCGAATAAGGTGTCGAAAATCCGCGAAACCCCCCGAAATCCATTTCGAGAACCCTCTGTAACAAGCACAGGCGAGGTAAAGCATGCAAGTGGGTCGCCCCGTCTATTTGCTATTTCCGGAGCGGATTTCTCGCTCCAGAAGCACTCTTTTGCGGCGAAGCTTGTTTGCCTAGTGTGGGGGCCCACACTGGTATGCCATCATAATCCCGCTAACCTCCATTTTGGGTGGACGGTGCCTTTAATGTTACGAAACTTTCTTCAAAAATTTGCATCGGGAACTTTACAGCGCTTCCTAGGTCGACTTTCCAAGAACAGAAAAAGGAGCTGACACTCTACTCTGGGTATACAAATTCCTACCTTTATTTTCTTCGCATCTCCGGAACCATTTTCAGCAGTCTTTTGCTCGTGGGTCTCTTCCTGCTCCTCTTCGTAATCGAGAAGTTGTTCGTCATCCATTGCTGCAAGCTAAACAACATGTTTTATACGACTCTTCGGAACTAGAAAACAGTTGTAAGGGCACGCCACAACATGAGCGAAAATCAAAGAAGGGAATACGAACGAAAAACACCTGAGTGCGGCCTAAACAAATCAATGAAAGTGAATGCCGCGACGCCACGCTTCGAAAGTAGCTGCGTGGCGCGCGACCTCCCTGATCTGTGCAGGACCCCAAATGCCTGGTATGGCGCGTTTTTCAAACTGCATGGCGCCCCAAAAGTGAAAGGGGTAGGGGGACGAATGCCGCCAGTTTGAGCCGCCTTTCGCGGCTAATTGGTCCTTCTGCAGCGGTTGCATGTCGTTCCAGGACCAGTAGTCCCCAGAGGCGGCCCAAACCGGCGGCTTTCATTCCCTTATCCGTGAAAAAGCGTCGCAAACAAAGATCTAACTTCCATTATGTGCCCTGGACTGACTGCGTGAAGTAGTCTTACGATTTCAGTTTTAGGCAGTCAAAAGAGAAGGCAGAGTAGTTCAATACTGTCGCGCTCCTCTTTGATTTGCATAATTTGTCATGGAGCGCATTTGAAGTTTATTTTGCACGCACAAGAAATTATGAAGAGATTAAACGATTTGAATCCAATAGAAATGCGATATTCGAACAAAGTTCATACACGTGACGGGAATATCGCCAAAAATACGGCGAGATTTGCACTTTTTCCCAAACGACGAGGTATGGCGAAATGATGTTCTAGGCACAGCTAACCTTATGAGGATCATCGACAAAGCAGGAAATCTATCACCTCACTCGCCCTCTTGGACCGCCCCATGCAAGAAAGTTCAATGTTCGCTTAGTCCTATCTCATAACCAGAGACATAAAGGCTACTCCATGACGAAGGCGCAGAAGCAGTTTCAGTTGAGCGCGAACGCGGCGCGCGCGTTTCCTCACCGTTGTAAGTCCTGCGCCTCGTGCGCTCTGCGGCTAATAAAGACGCTTTCGCGCACGAAAGTATTGCGCCTTCGTCGTGCAGCATCCTATACAATCGATGTCAACCACTGCTCTCCTTTCCATAGCAGTTTCACATACGCACCGCAAGGACCAAGCGTGGCGACTCCGACCGGTGAGGCGAGTTTTGAATGCACAAACTACACGCGCGCGAACGCGGAGCGAGTCTCGAGTTCCGATTTGGCTGGTGGAAAAGGGAGATAAGGTTGACACGGGCTATTAAACGCAGTGGTTTGGGAGAATTGCAACTGCCTTTTTGGGCCTCCTTGATTCTATGGATGCGATTAGACTAGAGCGGTGTTAAGAAGTCAAAAAAGTGCTTTTACGGCGTCCTTCGGCTTTGCAGATTGCTGAGGAAGCTGGAGCGGGGATTTCCGCGGCCGAGTCGCGGTTGGCTGCCGACTAATCAGCCAATTACAGCCATACTCTCGATACATAGAGCCACGTACTCTGATAACCTTCAGAGGGCTATGAGGGGACACAACCTTCACCTGAAAAAAACAGAAGTCATCCGGTCGCCCCGGATGTTATTATCCTGACTATATCGGAACGAATTTCAATGAAGCAAATCTAGGAAATAATATCTGTAACTTATCTTAGCAAAATCGAAAATTTGCGTTTTCATAGCCTTTTTTTAGCTTAAAAAGAAGGTTTCTGTGGAATTTTCGTTAAAATCCAGGACAATATTTCATAGTTAACCTCTCATTTGAGCAAAATCAAGTTTCAAAGATTTAGGAAAGCTATTGGATTAAAATAAGAACGAGAAAATGCGCTTAAATCTTGCGCAGAAATTCGCGCACGAAAACGCTGGTCTATCTCGCTAATGAGTGATTCTCAAGGCTTGGGACGTTGTCAGTTCTCCTCGTTTCATGACGATCAGAGTGTTATATAATGTTGCAGGGTTTCGTTGAGACCCCGCGAAGATCTACGACCAGAGCCAAATGTCCCGTCGGCTCTGGTCCGTTTCGCTGCTCGTCTGCGTCTCCATGTGCTGCGCGCTACCTCGCTACCCCAAACGCGGGGAGCGGGGCATTTGGCTCTGATACCCTCTTCTTCGCTGTTTCGAACCCAATTTTAGCAAGCTATATATCAAATTGAAGCTCTTGATCTCTATTTTCACGATAACAACGTCCCAGCCACATTTTCTGATTTGATCGAGAAATCCGGCAACAACCTTGTTTTCGAAAATCTCTTGTTTTTCTGTTGAACTATTTTCACACGTTTTTCGTGCATTCTATAAATCTTGCTTCTGTAATGCAGACAACCTCCCAGCCCTTATCACTTCGATTACGGTGGAATTTTTTGCAAAAATTGTAGAAAGTGCGTTTTTCTTTACCTAGTTCTGTTTCAGTGCTTTCGCATCGATTTTTTTCCAACTTGGGCGATTATTGCTCAGAACAATAAGCGCAACAATCCAGACAACGTCCCAGGAAACAGGAACGTCAATGCGGGGGTAAAAATTTAAAGGACGCATCAAAAATCAAAACCCCGTGTTGCGAATTGCTGGTCCTGGAGCAAAACCTTGCACTTTGAAAAGCCGTCAAATGAAAGATTTCGAGCCTCATTGCATCCGTTTTTATCCGGTTTTCAGCAGTTTCTTTTGTTTTTTATGTCTGTTTTACGTCATTTTCTCTTCTCTGATCATCTATAAATAACATTTACTATTTATGACGTCAGATGTTCAAACAACCTTCACTTCTGACAGTATACTTGGGACCGAATCGAATAATTATTCGATTATTCGAATAAATCATTCGAATGCGAATGATTCGAAAAGTCGAATATTCGGAAATCTGAGATTTCGAATAAAATTTGAGAGTCGAATATTCGAAATTTTCAGTTTTCGAATATATTCGATAGTCGAATATTCGAAAATCTTCATTTTCGAATATTATTCGAAAGTCGAATATCCTAAATTTTCAATTTTCGAATATATTCGATATTCGAATATTCGAGGGTCATTCATTCGGAGGACGCGCAGGAGGAACCAAGGGTATGCCGCCGCATATCCAGGAGACTTCTAGCAGCCATGAATAGGCTCCGCCCATTGCTCCGCCCACGAAATGCTCATAGTGTGCGCTGAGTTGGAACAGGAGACAGACCACGGAACTGGGAGCAAATCACAATGAACAGCAGCTCAAAGTTAAGGTTAAAGTTCAAAGGAGATTGATTTTCGATAACTACTGTCAAGAATAAGTTTTTATAGACCAAAAAATTTAAAGATGCCACAAATAGTTGGAAAGAAAATAAAGATTTGGATATAAAATGATTGAAATGTTTACTACTTGAGAGCAAGTTCAAATTAGACAAATTGACATGCTAGTACAAAAAAAGAATAAGAGAGCTTTTCTTCGAGGTTGAAAACATTAAAAAGGTGTTTGAAAAATACAACGCATTGATTCACGTATTATTTTCGATAGTCCACCTTACCTCGGAAAGCGACTCATTTAACGCAAATTTTATAAATATTTATATGTATACAATTACTTCTACTCATTTTTTCAATTTTCTAAAGTTTATAACTTACTCCCGTTTCCTTATCCCCTTCCCTAGATAAAATGTTGCAAATACAGTTCTCTAGGAATAAAGGTTCCTTTACCTAATCTTTTCTTCTTAAATATGTGAGATCTTTTCTTTTCGAATGTTTGAGACAGGTTTGGCTCTGTATAGGTCAACTAATCGCCTATCGATTAGCGCTAGCTGCGGTATCACAACTTTAGTGTAAAAATATTGTAAAAGAATGAGAAAATTATCTGAGGAATAATGGACATTTTTGTTTTTTGTATCAATGTGTTATTTGAGAATAATATCCGTTTCTTTTCTTTTTTTTCGTTCCTGTTGATTGATTCTTCAAAAAAGATTGGAACAGAAAAATTGTAATGATAAGGATATAAAATCTAGCGTAAAATTCTGCGCTTGTATAATAATCATATAAATCCTCACCTTGTCATTGTTCCTCTGTCATTGCTAAGCATAAGTTAGCTCATAATTTGGCGAAAAGTTATAAAATATTAATCTGGTAGATTTGCTTCAATGTAAAACCATACAAAAGTCCATTCAAAAGATTGGCCTTTCAAAACTGATCACAAATTTGTTTTTCCCTTCTCTGGATCTCCACTCCAAGTCTTTTAAACTAGGCTTTTCCTTCAAGGAATTCCTAAGCAAAAAGGCAAAACCCAGGCGCGCAAGGGGCGGAGCTTGGGAGGTTGCCAGATCCTTCCTGGCTCGCAGCCAGCTCCTCCCCTTTCCCCCAAGGATACAGGCGGCGAGGCCTTTGGTTTCCTGCTACGCCGCCCATTCATTCGATCATTCGATGTCCATCAAAAATTCGAATATTCGTCGAGCACCGAATATTCAGAAATTCGGTAAGCATTGACTATTCGAAAATTCGATAAGCACCGAATACTCGAAAATTCGATATGCATAGCGCATACGAGGTGTCTTGAAAGTATCCACACCGTTTGATCGCCTAATATCTCTCAAAGTCTTTTGCCAATTTCTGGGTAACATCTAGTAGGGCTGCTTTCAGCTTACAAACAACAGAAAGCGAATCGTTATCACGGTGGGAAATTCCAGACCAAATGCAAAATAAGGCATCCAAAAAAAGTCTCCAAAAAATGTCTAAAATCTGTGCAGCAGTGTTTTTACGTATGCTAATTTCACTACGCACGAGTTTTTAAGCTTTTCAAATGGCAATCACATTTTTGAAAGGCGTTGCAAAACACTTGTTACGGTGTACCTGGCGTAAGTTTTGAAAAAAGCATTACGGTTGAGTGCAAATTCTACATAAGTGAGTCTCTTTAGAAGTCTAATGCAAGACTTTCGGCCCTTTTGATTTTTTTTTCTTGGGGGAAATGGCTCTTGATGTTTCAAAACCCTCTTCAATCTTACGGTGATTTTACAACAGTAAAAAGCGATTGATAAATCGCCCCATACTCTAAGTTGATCTCAGCCCACAGATCTACATACGTTGTATGCCCAATCGCATCTCTTAATGATGTTAGATAATATATCTTGAAGTACGAAAGATCTCTT